CTGCAAGTCTCTTTCCTGCCGTATCTACCAGCTTAATTCTCTGCCTCCTGAAGGCTTTGCAAAGCTCTTCTCACAGCTCCACGGGACAGGAATGGCAAAGGTTTTAATGTGAGCCCTCTTTATTTAAAAAAAAAAAAAAAGTCTTTGCATATGGAAAATATTTTTTATCATATAGAACTTTATCTGCTTTACTTAAAACCTCTTAAATATATTAAACATCTCATTTGGCCTCACCTCTGTATTTACGTCCATCTGCTGGTAGCTCCTCAGCCCATCAATACAGTCGTAGGGCTTTCTGCCAGCTCCACGTCTTCGTTATTAATTCTCTTTTCCAAGTCAAACCCAACAATCCGGGTTGGATTTGAATGAGGTTGTGACAGTGACAAAGTTGGGCCCAAGGGAGAGGAATACCAAGGGGTGTTTTTTCCTCACTGTAACTCAACGCTGATCCAAAGTCCAGAACTGGTTATATTGAGTCCTAAACAGGTGCCAAGACAACAAGAAAAAATAGCAACAGGAGCTTGAAATGTCAAAGCCCTGACGTTCTGCAGCTCCCCGTGCTGGAAACGAGCACGTTACTGATACGAGAGAGGAGAACACAGCACAAAATAGTTGATTTCTAACTCAAAAATCTCCAACCTTGGTCACAACACTTTGATAACCGACTCATTGCCTTCCTTCACTCTCTCATTGCTTTGGTAGCAGCTGGGTCAAGGGGCTCCCAAATCCACCAAACAACAATTTTTGCACTTCTCAAAATTGAGATCTTGGCTTTCCAGCCCATTTTTTTCTGAATCTGTAAGGTTCCTGAGTAAAAATCTTGCTGTAGTAACACTGGAAGAAAGGTGTGAAGCAAGTTTATGGAAAGGCTTTGAGGGACAGAGAGTTTTCTAGATGTGTCTTCACCTTGCATGTCTCTTTTTCTTTGATGCAGAGACAATGTCCTCATCTTTAGAAAAAGAAAAGAAATGCATCAGAATCCAACAGAAAAAAATGTGATCAGCCTTCAGGAGAGGAACCAGGTCCCACCGGTGCCGGAGGTGCGAGAACAACAGATGCAAACCAGCATCTTACTGGCTTTCATCTCCAGTGGTCCCCTCCCCAAAGGTCTGGGTCTCTTATTTGCTATAGAGATGCATGATCCCAGGTAGGACATCCCTCTTGATCTGCACGGCACGGGTCTCAAGCCAGCAGGTCTCTTGGGTCACCCCTCTGGACTGGCTGGAGGTGTCCCCTGTGCCAGCGAGAGTTAAAAGTGCAACAAAACAACCCAAAGACCTGAGGTGAGGAGGAGGAGGAGGAAGGAAGGGGAGACGTGAGGGCAACTTGCCCCAGCCTGGAAGATGTGCAGTTTCTCAGAGTTGGGAAGGAAGACCCTGGCATCTTCCAGGGCTCCACGAGCTGCCATGGTGAAGTTGGCATCTCCCGAGGTCACCACATCGAAGACACATGACTGGAAGTAGACGTCCTCCACGGGCAACATCTCCTTGCAGAGTGCCCGAGCCGTCTCAGCCGCCGCTCGGCCGCGGCAGCACTCGCTGCGGGAAAAAAGCGGCCCCCGCGCCGGCCCCCCCGCCGCTCGGCCGGGGCAGCACTCGCTGCGGGAGATGCGCTGGCTGCGGGGACAACCACCCACGCAGAGCTGCAGGTCTTGCTCCTCCGTGAAGGCCTGTGCCACCTCCTCAGCTGCCCGGATGGAGAAGGAGAGCTGGCGGCCGGCCTGCCGGACGGCGATGGTGGTGCCGATGTATTCTGCACGGATCTCCACGTGCTGCCCGGGGCTGCGTTCCCGGATAGCCAAGCTGCTCCCGCCGGGCCTCTCACCCCCGTTCACCGAGCCGTCCTCAAAGGCTGCCGGGAGGTTGTCTATCTCTGCCTGGTAGACCTTCTGGTCGATGCATTCCTTCATGTTCTTGAAGATGATGGTGAGCTGCAGAGAGAAGATCAGAGGGGGTTTGATCTGACTTGTCGTGTCCCCAGCCCAGGTACCAACTGTCTAGGGAAGGGCAAAGCAGATGGCACATGTCTGCCACACCAACACATCCTCCTCTACCCAAAACCATCTTTCCCACATTGCTGCAGCCCTTTGGAGAAGACAGCACCTTCCCTTCTTTCTTTCATAACATCTCCAGGGGAGGTTTAGATTTAATATGAGGAGAAATTTCTTCACCCAAAGGGTTGTCAAGTGTTGGAACAGGCTACCCAGGAAGTGGTGGAGTCCCCATCCCTGGAGGAGTCTAAAAGCCATGTAGATATGGTACACAGGGGCATGGTTTAGTGGTGGACTTGGCCATGTTTGGTTTATGGTTGGATTTGATGATCTTAAAGGTCTTTTCCAACCCAAATTATTCTGTATGATTTGTATGATTTATTGTATGATTTAAGCAACTGAAAATAGAGATGTGGATAGATAGACTGCATGCAGGTAACCCACAGACCACCCAGTAACCCATCCCCACGCAGCAATTGGAGTGTTTGCAGGTCTCTCTGGTTCCCTCAAGGATCTTCAGCCCAGGGGATGCCCTAAACCATTGCTACATCCCAAATGTGAATGAGTTTGCTGTCCTATGCACGAGCATTACCTTGTTAGTGACGGTTGCGTTGGACCCCTTTGTCACTGGAGAGCTGGTCGCTTGCACAAACAAGTAGTCATTGTCCAAGAGAGGCCAGGAGCCCTCCACTCGACAAGTGTGGAAATCATCATGGAAAGTGCGGATATGGGGGTCCCCGAAAGCCGCGCAGTGCTGGTAGCTGGGGGGCTGGCCGTGCTTGTAGAGAAAACTCTTCTCATAGTTGCAAATATCGAGAGACTCGAAGCCCTGATGGTTGGGAGCTTGGGGCCGGGGCCGGGGTGGTGAAGTGGGACCTTCCTTAGAGCAGTTGTTCTGGATCATGAGGTCCTCGATGCCGTGGACGGCGGAGTGATAAGCCAGGTCACCCCGGCACGTGCGAGCCGTCTTGCGGGTGCAGTGGGAGTAGGAGCGGAGAGCGTTGCAGTACGCGGCGTTCCGGTTGGAGCCGCGCAGGTTGAGGGTGGCAGCCACGTATTCCGAGTTGCAACGCAGGATCTTGCACTGGGAAGAAACTGGGAGAGATGGGATAGTCCCAGGTAGAGCTGTAGGAGTGAGGAAGGGCAACCCCTTCTCCTCCCACAACCTCCCACCATCTGACTCACTTCATCTCTCATGATGGAGACACTTTCTGGAAGCACTTATCTCCCTGTATTAACGAAGGGGAAGGAATCCAGGTTTTCCTGCTGCAGGAACAGGCTGGAGCCCGGGGCAGGGGGAATCTCGGGGCCGAAGGGGTGTCCTGAAGCAACTGGGATGTGAGATCCTACCTGGGGCACGAGCATGGCCAAGAGCCAGGGCAGCAGTTGTGACTGTGGCCTTGGGACGCGGCTCAGGTGGAGATTCTTCACCCCAAGGCTTGCCAGGGGACAAATGGGAATTTCTGAGCTGGGAAAGCCCTTCTTCCCATTTCAACCTTGGCTGGGGCATGCAATCATGCTGGGCTTGGCTACACCAAGGACATCTTGGCCCTCAAACCTCATCTCTCTGTGCTGCAGAAGGCAGTGCCGTGTGCCGCAGCTCCGGGCGAGCTAACGAGCCCTCCCCAGTTTAGCCCATTAAACAGAGGGGCTGTAGCTGCCCTTGTGGGAGGTGAGTCCAGGCTGGGCAGGGTAAAGTGTTGGGAAATTAATTTGGGTTTTGCCAGATGAAGATCTTGGTTCTCCTGGTGTCTGGGATGCAGGAAGGAAAGTGATGGACTGAGCGATGGATGTGGCTGGTGCCTTTCACTGGAAGACCTTGGACTTTGGCTGGTCCCTGTCTTATTTTGGGAGATAAAAGAGCTTTTAAGGGCTTTCCCAAAGGAAGGGGAGCAGAAGGTGCTTTCCTTGCTGAGGCTGCCCTGGTAGGGACAGGAGATGCTGGTGGGAATGCTGCCTGCCCTTTCCTCTGGCTGCTGTGGGCCAGAGGGTTGCGGTGGGACAAGCTGAGGTGACCATGATAGAGGAGGGGGAAAGTGGTCTCTGGAGCTCTGGGGAATGGGGACACCAGAC